CCGCAGCTGGACAGAGAATAGTCACTCGAGTCCAAGGTCTTTTGCTGCTGTTGCATGTTGAAGAATTTTGTAGGGTGGGGGTGGGGGGGGGGTTAGTGTTAGGCAAACAGGCAGACATGACAACGTTATCTCGCCTTCATGGTGCTGGGCTGTGGATGATCTTCTTAGCGCTGGCCTTCATACAGTCTTCTGGTCTCAGCATCGCTGTCCATTTGTCCACATGTGCCCATCATCGGTCCAGGTCTCGGGTCTCGGCGGTTAGAATGGACTCGGAAAGAGCAGAGGACCATCAGGAAACCAAACTCCCCTGTTACATAAAAAACCAAAACACACACACACACAAAAGAAATTAATGATTCACTTTTCTCTATTCACTCAACAGCATGCAGATAATGTCAGGCATTTTAAACACTTTTTTCCCCAACGATGCCCTTTAAATACTGCTTCAACAAACCTCCATAAAACAAACCTCAGATAGACAACCAAAAAAATCTCTTTATTTTCTTTTCCCGGTCTGTTTGAAATACTTTGGTGTATATATTTTTAAATGGCATGTAAACAAGCCATGCATTCTATTTCATGTTGGAATGTTYTATTACATTTTTTATCTCTCTGCATCTTATTTTAAGATAAAACAAACAGAAAAACACTCTCTCCCCTTGCTTCAGGGAATTGAATAAATTTCCACTCTACTGTATATACTGACTCAAAAATCATTTGTAACAAAAAACAAACAAATGAAAATACTAGTTCAGCAAATTCCATTTGTTCCTTAGTCCCCGTATCTTTCACCGCATGAAAAACAGTTTCATTAATTAAGAGTATCCTAAACTCTGTGCCTTCAATAAAATATATTTGCCACTAGCAGTCTAATGTTGTTTGATTATTTTTTATTAATTTCAACCCAAAACACAGCAATGGTGTTTTTTTATTTTTCACTTAACCCTGAGAGTTAGTTATAAACACAACCGTTTTTTTATGCATATGTTAGGGGGTTTATGAAAAAGAAGACAAAATGGGTAATCTGTCGCCCCCGTGCGCCCTCTCCTATTTCAACATATGGTTTACAGTTGGGGGGGATGACCGGAACCTGGCCACCCCTCCCCACCAGGCCGTACCTACAGGAGGTAACGTTGCGCGGCCGAAACAGGAAAAACCCCAATCCGCTCCATTTAATAGTCCCGAAAATCAGAGAGACTAAAACATGTTATTAAAAATGTTTCAAAACAACCTTTTATCATTCTTCTTGATTTTAAGCTTTGAATCACATTCCACAAGCGATCACGGAAAGCGGCTGAGCTGTTTTAAAACTGAAACAGCCACCGTCCGGGAAGCTAATTTATCAAACTCCACACCCGCAGACACTTATTCACGGCTTTCAGCGCCATATTTATTTACCATGGCCTGTGCTCAAACAAAGCCAGCTGGTCGCATTCTTTGGCTGAAAACTTGTGCGCAGTGCACTACCTAAGCGACTTTCTCAGAACAAAAGTCGGGACGGCCGTCACCTAAAATGACATTCTAGCCTACAAATGTCTCCTCATTTGAAACAAAAATGGAAAATTACATTTTCCCTCAGCAGTTTAAGCATATTTAAACTGCCTACACTCACCTAAGATGAACTCTGTCCTCTTGGCTACATTAAAACAGAAAGCTAAGCTCCCTGTTTTTTACCCAATATGGATTGAAAACGCTCCCATATCTACCTCAGCTAGAATCATGCAGCTGCAGAAAACCAGACCAGCATCTAACAATTACAATTTCAATGTGTGTGTGGGCAGAAAAATTAGCCGTAGCTCTTAGCATAAGGTGCTAATGAAAATATTAGCTCACCGTGTTTCTGCCACAGACAKGTTCTTTTTCAGCTCCAGTCCCAAAAGGCTACCCACAGCGGCCGAAGTAAGGACAGATCACAAAACCCGGACATGATCAGCAGAGAAAGACAGGTCAGCTTTGTCAGAAAAAAAACTTCTTCCATTTTCTGGTGGATCTCCGGAAAAACAGTCGACCAGCTGCGGGCAATCTTCCGGTCCTTGGAGCTGCCCTTCGACAGCGCCAAAATCTGTCGTGGAAATGATTTACCAAGAATGCAGAAACACATTGGAATAAATGGACAGAAAGTCTGCGTGTATGGTCGTCAAATGATTTAATYYT